CAGGCCTCCTACACCCTCCTCACCACCGATTTGGATCACTTGTTGTTCCCTTGTCCCTGGGTTTGTTAACACCACTTCCTTTCCCCCCACCTCCCCCTCTCCCATGTCCCCCCAGAACCATCGGTTCCATTGTTTTCTCCTCCAGATTGTTCATCCAGCCTATCTTATTTAGACAGACCTATGGAGATAATAATATGCACAAAAACAAGACAGAGTGAAACAAGGCAACAAAAGAAAACAAAATGACAACAACAACAACAAAAATCCAATGACAAAAAAAGAAAAGAAAAATCTGTAGTTAGTTCAGGGACTGTTTATTGGCCTTTAGGAATATTTTCTGGTCCAAGACTGTAACTCTTTATAGGGGCAGAACACCTCATCACTCTCTGGAGGAGTGTATAGTGGTTCCAAATGGCTGACCTTGGGATTAGCAGCTCAACATGTAACCATTGTGGTGCCAGCATTTGACCCTTAAATTCCTGATGTTACTTTCTGCTGACCCCAGATAGGGGTGTCCTAATGCACCCAGCTTTCCCTCCCATATGACTAAGGAACAATGTGACCTGTTCAGTTTCTAAGAGCTTATGCATGAGTTGGCGGGGGTGGGGTGGGGAGGGTGAGGTGGTATCTAACCAGACCTAGGTTTCCCTGTCATCTCTTTTCCCATTTCTTTTGTATTTATGTTCCAAGTGTCAAAAACTCAAACTATCTGAGACCAAGGGGAATTTACAGTCTCCTATAACTAAGATATCTAGAGATACACTAAAGGCAGGGCTAGCTCGAGGTGCTCACAAAACGTTGTCAAGTTTGCCTTTCTGATTCTGCCCTCTGCATGCATGGTCTGTATTCATTCTCATTTCTGTCTCCCCATCGCTCCCTCATGCATTGTGAATTGAGTCTCACCAAATTTCTTGTACCACCTATTCATCCTAAATCAAGTACCTGGGCCAAAGGAATGACTCAGTGCTTGGCATAGTTTGGGTTGTATGGCCCCTGTCCATAGCCTGGAGGGTGGCAGCGGCAGCCCCACCCAACACTTGCATTTCCCTTTCACCAAAGGAAAATCAACATGCCAGAAAAATGGAATGATACTGGGCTGTCCCCAGACAATAGATATTGATATTATCCCAGGTGCTCCACAGCTGAATAAAAAGAGAATCCCCCAATTCAAAAGAGTTGACTGCTTCTCTGCTCCCACAAAAGAACTCAATGATTGGTCAGGAAGCTGTTAGTGACTCTTTAAGATCTAGACTCTGGAAACTGTAAAAGGACCTACCACTCTTCCCTTCAGAAAGATGATACCTTCTATTAATTTCTAATGAGTCATTACCCTCCCTCTTCATCCTCTCAAAGGGTTGACAAGGGGATTTATTTCTGCAGAAGAGAACCCACCTATGACGTTACCAGGAGGTCATTCTATTACTTAGCTCTCTGTTGTGATGGGTTTCTTCTAGTCCAGGTGTCTTTTCTGAGGTCCAAGCCCGAATATGCAATTCTTACTACGGCTTATGTTTATCTGGGCCATCGAAGCTCAACTGACCTAGAATGGAATGTGTCACTTTCTCTTTCTCCCACAGCCCCTGTCTACTGGTTTTGGGGCCATTCTGACCCTTGATGACTCCGTATGTGTCCTACGTGCCCCATATGATTTTCTTTT